AGAGCACATGTTTGAACATTTAAAGTGCATATGAACATATATTTACGAAAGGTCGCCTCCGAGGGGATAAATCACCATGTCGAACATTGCATTTTTGTTCCTGCCTCTCGCGTTCTCTTCTCTTCCCGCTGTCCTACCTTTCGTGTCTCCCTCCTCTCAAGTTTTCTGGAGGGCATCAGCTTTTCTGAGGCTGAAAGTAGCGGCGTGTCCCAGATGTCCATCGGTAAAGAGGATCATATGGCTTCAGCTCATCGTTGCTGGTACTGGTGATGGGATACACCCACCAGGACCCGACTCTACAGGTCACCAAGTGAGACCTGAGACAGGGTCCAACAACCCTCAACTAACAGCCTGGCCAGGAGGGTGCTGGTATAAGTATAGTCCTACTCATCAATCAACCTGATTCACGTCGACGTGATTCAGAAGGGTTTTCCGACCCTTCCAGAAATCGGTCGACGTCTTTTTTCAGACACCTAGCCGGCGAGGTGTCATGCAGGACTTGGGAGGATCAAGACCAGGTCTTGAGAGCTTTTCATCTCTTACCATGTCAAAGCTTCAGCCCCTGGAAGTCCAGAACTCGTCGAGTCTGCTGGGCACGGAAGAACCCGTCAGAGCACTTCCGCCTTTCCTGCGAAGCTGTTGGGGTCTTCAGGCATAGCCCTAGACTTCCAACCACCATTCATTTCATAGGCTGACTCCCGAATCAACTAAGGATTTTACACTACTTCCAACCAGGTCGTTCCCATGTTTTTTCATGGTCGAACGGAAGTCTTGGGATAGAAACTCCGGAGCAGATCCGGCAGCAGGTTCGGCAGCAGGTTCGCAGGTGGCGCGAGCAGGTTGCGGGGCGCAAGGAGGGCGAGTGGAGGTTCAGCGGGGCAGGTGGAGCAGAGCTTCCGGAGCTAGCTTCGCAGCCATTTTGCAGATCTGCTGCTCAGGCTGACATAGGTTTTGCTCACCAGCTCACGCAGAGATGCTGACGTTGGGTCATGCTGACATGCTGGCAGGCTCCACAAGCGCTACGCCGACATATTGCTGCGTTGTGATGCTGGCATCATGCTATATGGAAAAGGCTCTCATGTGTCAAAGCAGCGTTGCCTAGCAAAGATACAGCACTTAATTGGTGAACTTGCTGCCATTCTCCAATCTATTTTCGGCAGGTTCATGCCCAGCTGTTGGGGATTCTTCTTGGGCTTCAAGATGCTCTTGGATGCCTAAAATCGACAGGTGAAGGTTCTTTTGGATATCTGCATGGGCCACAGCGACCACGGCTACCACGGCTCCGCTGGTCTTCTTCCTCCACTGTCTGAGGCCATCGAGCTGACTTGAACCACGTGGACAGTTTCTCCGCCACGGTGGCCCACTGGGCGGCGGTCGGCGGCAACACGGAAGGCGTGGCGGGCACGCCAGCGCGCGGTTGCACGGCGGTCCTTGGGGCCATACCATCCGTGCTGTTGCCCAAAAGTTACCAACCCGAACGAGCTCGGCCCCGAAGCTATGGAGGGGTCGGACCCGAATCCTTTGGAGGTTTTTTTTCCGGGTCCAAGGACTCATGACTCATGAAACAGCCGAGTGGAGGACTTTGCAGGCTGACAGCAAAGAAGCTTGGCCCTACCTGGAAACCCAAACAACCAGAAACAAATGGTTGTTCCAATATGGCAATTGAAATCCTTTACATAGGAAATGGCTGGGACTGGGGAGTTCCATCCATTTCTTTCTGGTTGGGACTGATTTCCCAGGTAGAAGTCCAAGGACTGGGCGCCCACTGGGCGCCCACTGGCCAGGAATTTCCCAGGCTTCTCGGGGCATCCAGGTGACCATGTTTAACACCAAAACGACTGGACGTTTTGAGGGATCTTTTCAGGGCCGAAGTGGAACACGTCACGGAGCTACGTTCGGCTCCCCCTGCTCCGTTGGTAGCTTCGTCGCTTCCGTTCATAGCTTCGTCGCCATGCCACAGGAACACGTCGCGGAAATCGGATCTTTCAAAGGTGAAGAAGATCCCAGACACCACCCGTCTGGGACTGCCAGTCCGGAGCTGCCGAGGGACAAAAGGCCTGGGCCTTCTGGGGTGGTTGTTCGTATACGGATCGACTTCTGGGGCAGTCCGTCCTGGCAGTCCCAGGACGTCACGAGATGTCTAGGGATGAGTGGCCATCACCCAAGATCCCTGACGAGGTGGGTCCTTCCACCACGCCCGCCACGCCGTGAACTGGACCGATGTCGGCACGGCACGGCCGATGTCGGAGTGCGTGGCATCTCGGGGGTCACCTGGTGCTTGGACTTCCAGGGACCCGTTTTTCAGATCCCGTACCTGAACCCTCCCTTCGATCGGTGATCCGAGGTGCCCAAACACACACCAGCCCCCGTGGTGTTAGGTTCTTAACACGGAAGGTGCCCGATGTCCGGTCCCCAAATCCACGGAAGGTGCTTCGAACATCTTCGAACCCCCGGAGGTCGGGGAGGTCGGGGAGGTCGGAAACCCAGCTCATCCGAGGACGCGGAAAACGTCCGACCTCGGCGGCCTGGTCACTACAACTCCGGTGACTTCCCGCCTCCAAGGAATCACGGTATGATCCCATGACCCACATGAACAACGCGGATGAGTCGTCTGACCTTTCCACCCCACCCCAAACCATCCCCAAACGTCGGATCGTGATCTCCGACGTGACTTGATCCGCACCAGGCCTGCGGATCTTGAGGGATGCTGGCGCCTCCTTCGAGGGTGCCAACGTCTTGGGCTACTCGCCCTTCCGCCTCCCGGAGCGAAGACGGGGAGTGTTCGGTCGGGTGAGCAGGCGTTCCGTGCCCCCGCGCCCGGAAAAGGGGCGGTGCATGAAAAAGGGCGGTGTGAGGTTTTGGAGGAAAGAAGAAGAGAAGCAAGAGCATACCCAGATAGTCTACTCCTACTAGGCGATTTCATGGTCTTTGGGACTAAAGAGTGCCAAAAACACACCTGTTGGAAGGTCCTGGTATAGAAACGGATTCTTTGGATTTCTTTGGATTGTTTCTCTTTTTTTGGTGGGGGGGTCAGAATCCTCAATATTGGACAACATCCGGACAAGCCGATCATCACTGGCTGTTCGGGTGAAGCTCAGGCGTGACGCTCGCTTCTCCGGTGGGCCACCTTGATTTCAATCACCGGGGTCATCCCGAAGAACCATGGTTTTACTAACCCTAGGGATCCAAGTACCTTCTCAGAAGGTGATTGGAGGCACTGTTATGTAGGTTTGGAGGGTCCAAGTACCTTCTGAGAAGGTACTTGGATCCTTAGGGTAAGGATGTTACGCTCCAAAGCCAGGTCGTTCCCACTTAAAACCAGAGCCGATTTCCGGGCTGGTTCGGCGGGGTGATTTCCGGGCTTTCCAGGTATGGCGTGCTCTGGTGGGCACGTGGAAGCGATGAAGATGCTGTTAGCGCATACGCCATTGATCCTTGGATCTACGCGCGAAAACACCACTTATCAGGAGAGGGGAGGATGCCGGAGGCCAGAAGTGGCAAGTCTGGGGTTGGATCTTGATACATGATTCGTTTTGCGGAGGGTCCCACATGGAGACTGACGAATGAAACACCCGAACTAGAAGTCCATTGGCAGGATTCGATAGCTGACCTATAGTTCAGGAATTACTCTCTTAGAATCAAAAGAACATCCGTGGCCTGTGGACGGTGCGATGATCCAGCCTCCAAAGAAGACATATAGCAAAGATGAAGACGCAGACACACACACACACAAGCAATGTTGTTTCTGTCAAACAAGCAGTCCGCACATAAATCTATGTTGTGGAAGAAGGAGGTCCCAATAAAGGAACACCTGCAGTCTGTGCCAGGTTCATTTGTGTTCCTCTATGAGAGCAACACCCAGGTGTTCTCAACCAGACCACCTTCCCTGAAACCAGCCTTTGACCTCCGCTTCATACCAGCCTGAAAACTTCTGTTTCCCATGTGTTCCAGAGGTTCTTCACCACAGAAGCGATGCAAACCCGAAGCCGCCCAAGACGTGTGGGAGAGCTTTAAGACGTGGGGAGACCGACCCCCCGGGGGCCTCCAAAGCACGTGGCCCACGTGCCGTCATGTTTCGTTCGCCTCGCGCTTTGTGGGTCATGAAAGGGGCAACTCCCGACCTCAAAGGTGCCGCTTTCCCCGACCTGCGGCGTTTCCTGAGGTTGGAGGTGGATTTGGGTGTACACACGGCCATCCTTCATGAAGGCCGTCGACCTTTCAAGGGGTTGAGAGGATGGGGTCAAGGCAGATGAGCGCTGTCTGGGAAGAAAGAGGGTGTAATTTGATCTCTGCTTTTAATTCACAGTTTCACACTCTGATTTGGCTGGGTGAAGAGGGGACCACACTTGGTTGATAGGCGTTGGTTGTGAAGGAAACATCCTTTTTTGCCTCTTCAACACCAGGAACCCCCCCGTGCAACCTGAGCCGCCAGCGATCGCAGACGTTGATCACTAGCGATAGAGCGGTTCTCGACCTGAAGCATGAAGCAAGATCCCAAGATTAAGTGATCAGAAAAAAGACCATTCTGGGGTACCCAACTGGGATAGTCTATATAATTGAGAAATCATGATCGTGACATGCATGGTTGACTTGGACATGAGCAAGGGTTAAGAACATCCGCAGGCGCCTCAGCCAAACTCGCTACGCTTCGCTCTAGGTGAAAGCACGAGCGCCCGTGACGTCGCCATTCGTACGGGCGTTGACAGTGGCACCGGAGCCCTTGGTTGGGTTCTTCGTGGACCTTTGGTGGCCTTTTGCACTCCGCTGCTTGCTAGGTCTTTTTGCACGACACCCCCTTTGTCCCGGCGGTTGAGGTTGGTGATCCCGGCAGGTTCCCCGGTTTCGATCAAGGACAGAGAGGACAAGCTGTTTCTTTTGGCTGGTTGTGGCCTCCCTTGGGCAAGCGCCTTTTCGTGGAGCACGAGCGGTTGAGAGAAGCTGGAATTTACACCTTTTTGCTGTTTCACGAGTCTCGAAGAGACGCATCGAAGCTGCGAGGCATGGCTGACGAGAAGGATTCGAATGCTGGAGCTTGGAGCAGAGTCCCAACTTGGGACGGATCACCCCAGACCTGGAGAAGCTTCAGGAAAGACATGTCTTGGTGGTTGGCCGGACTTGACATCCAATCCACCAAGAAGTACAATCTAGCAGCAAGATGGCTCTTGCGGCAATCCGGAGTGGTGCGACAGAGAGGAGAAGAATTTGATCCAGCAGAGCTGGAATACCAGAAGGAGGTCAAGATGCCCAATGCTGAGACTGGTGACGACGAGATCGTGACTCCAGAGGATCCTCTGAGCGGCATCAATCGCCTTCTTCGAGCACTTGAGGAGATGACAGGTCGCACCTCGCTCGACAAGCGAGGAGAGCTCCGGAACGTCTTCTACCTGGAGTTGAAGAGAAGGTCAGGTGAGCGGATCTCAGAATTCGCCACGAGGTTCAGAGGGCTCATCGCCGAGATGAAGTCGGAGGGTGTGACCATCCACGATGGTGAACTTGGCTGGTGGTTCAAACAGAAGCTTGGACTTGACCCTCTCCGAACTCAACTGCTGGACACAGCGCTGGCCGGCGCTGAGGACTACAGCACGATCGAGTGTGAAGTCCTGAGGCTGTTCAAGGATTTGCACTCAGCAGATCCCCTTCATCGTCGACAAGGTGATGGCGATCAACGTGCACCTCTCCTGAACAGGTTCCTGAGCCAGCAGGCCAATGCCAGCAGGCCTTCGTCGTATGCTCCCTCGATGGCCAGTTCAGCTGCTCGGTCAATGAGGTCGAATTCATCGACCGCTTCATCGGGTCGACTGCCGTCGAATACCTCCTACAGGAAGCCCTTCATGCAGAAGCAGGCCATGGTGTCTGAAGCCGAGGAGGAGATCCATGTTGATGAACAGGCGAATGAACCGCCTGGTGGTGATGATGAGATGGAGCCTCAGACTTTGGAAGAAGTCTTGACCACCGAAGCTGAAGTTCTTGCAGCTGAACTTGATGAAGCGGCTGCTCAGGGTGTCGATGCCGACACGTTGCAAGAGATTGAAGAAAGCGTTGAAGCAGCAGCCGAAGCCTTCTTGACGATGAAGGAGGCCAGATCCAAGTTGCAAGAAGTCCGCAAAGACCGCGGATATGGCAAAGCACCTTCTCCAGCATCCAGCTCAGTGGCCAACAAGGTCAACTTGAAGAAGCAGTCGGATAGGCATCCTTGCTTTGACTGCGGCTTGGCAGGACACTGGGCAGGCGATCCAGAATGTCAGAAGCCTGGACAACAGCTTGGCAGAAAGAAGGGGAAAGCGGTTCAGAAACAGGTGAAAGTCACCGAGGCGCTCAACACGGAGCATACAGATGAAGCTGATCCTGAACATGAAGTTCTTGTGCTCCGCCATCAACCGCAAGTCCTCACCGATGCTTTTGTCTCGACTGTACAGAACTTCCATGAGCCCAAAGAGGTGAACGCTTTGGGCCTCGCTTTGGACAAAAGATTGGTGGGAGCATTGGATAGCGCCTGCAACCGCACCTGCACTGGCATGGATTGGTTGAACAGCTTTCTCCAAAGGTTGAGGTCAACTGCCCCCGAGGAAGTGATTGCCCTGGTAAAGTGTGAGCCCGAGAAGGAGACCTTTCGCTTTGGTAATGGGGGCACTCAAGTCAGCAAAGAACGATGGCGCCTTCCTACCATGGTTGGTGGTGCAATCATTTGTTTTTGGACCTCTGTTGTTCCGGTGGCATCCCTGGGTTTGCTTTTGGGCCGTGATTTTCTAGAAGCGGTTGGTGCAGTGATGAGTTTTTCTCGGAAAGCCCTTCGGTGCGACCACCTGGATGGGAAGGAGATCCCATTGAGCCAGTTGACGGCAGGTCACTATGCCCTTCACCTCCTCCCGAGCTCTTGGCCAGGTCTGGGCTCTCAGAAGTGGCGTCGATTTGGGTTAGATGGCATTTTGGAAGTGCAATCTTCGTTTGAGCGTTGGGTCCATCGTCGTTTGAAGATGGTTGATGGTCCTCGTTCGTCGACGTCGCTTGGACATGATCATTTTTTGGCAGAGAGCAGTGTGAAGGCTGGTGAACTTGTTCGAAATGTGTTGGCCCCGACGTTTTCTGGCTCGGTTCAAGCTTTGTCCATGCCTCGGACCTCTGAGCGTGGGATTTCCTCGACGACATCTTCTACTACCAGGTCGACCTCAAGGTCTACTACCCGATCGCCTTTGAATGGAGGGCGGAAGCAGCAAGCAAGGCCCAATGAGCCTGAGCATCAGCAGGTGGCGAAGAATGTTGCTCCGCCTTCGAGAACGGTTTCTATGGGCAGTGAAAGGTGTACTGCTGTGGGCCCTGCCAAGGCCTTACTTGCGGTACTTGCCGCTGCCCTATCCATCTTCGGGCACCCCGGACCTTTGGTTGCGGCAAGGTCAACAACAGGTGGCAGATGGTCATGCGAGCAAGCGACACCTGGACATGGCCTACACGATGGACCGCTTCGTGTACAAGAACCTGGTGGAGTGCATGCATTGGCGAGACCGACTTGGCATGATGACGGCCTTCTGCGAAGACCCTGTGTTGACGGGAATGATTCATGCAAAAGCCGCCAAGGGGTTGAGGAAGAAGGTGAGAGACGCCGCTTTGGAAGAAGCCAAGAAGGAGGCCCTCCAGGCCGAACAGGCCGGGAACAAGGAGGAACTGGCTCGCTCGCTCATCGGACCTCGCGGTGGACTTCCACCACTTCGAGGAGACCTGATCAGGTTGGCAGTTCTGTTGAACGTCAAGGTGGACCCCGAGGACAACGTCGAAATGCTCAAGAACAAGGTCCGACCCATCGTTCAGGTCTTGAAAGAGAAGCCTACACCTGCTCCCAGCAAGGCGAAATCAAAAGCGAAGCCAGCAGCCACCAAACCTCAAGGATGGACCGTGGGCTACAGTGCAGGTCTGGTGGCAGAGCCGTCTCCCGGGATGGTGTCCTATCAACACCTCATCGACATGCGCAACCGGTTTCAGACAACCCTGGACCACATGGCATTGGAGATCCAAGAGCTTCGACAACAACGTCAACAGGGCACGCAGGTGGACCTCTCCAGTTTGGCGAAGACGGTGTCAAGCAGCTCCGGCTCCGGAGGAGAGATGGAAGTGACGCCGGAACTTCTTCAAGATGCCGCCTGGTCCCTGGAGGGAGCATTCGAGCAGCAGTTGGCTGCTCACTACGGGGAGGAGAACGTGATGTTCCTGACACCGGAGGAGAGGGCTCAGGTCCTCGATCCGTGAACCCGTATGTCATCCACCAGTGCCTGAAACCGGGTGTTGCGAGTCTGATTGGCCAAGCTTGGGATCAACATGAGGCTGACCGCCGAAAGATTTCCCAGGAACCCAAGCGGATTCGCCATGTCCTTGAGGCGGAATTCTTCAAGGAGATGGAGGCCCACATGAATGATGAGACCTTCTTCCAAGTGTTTGATTTGATGCCCACGTTCCATGAGTCCCTTGTGAATGAGAAGACGAATGGCTCTGATCCCCGTCCTTTTCTGGCTGAGGTCTACACGACAGCACAACATGTGTCCAAAGTCGCCCGCGACCGTGGTCATGCCGTTGGACCTGCTTTGAGCCTGGAGACGGGGTGGAACTTTCTTTTGGCTAGCCATCGAGAGCGAGCCAAGAAACAGCTGGCACAAGACAAACCTTTTTGCCTGGTCTTAGCCTTCCCATGTGGCCCTTTTAGCCCTTTGCAACATCTCAATACCAAAGGAAAGCTATCCTGGCCTCGACGTCTGGAGGAAGGGCGAGTCTTGATGCGATTTGCTTTGGAGTTGGCTGACATGCAGCTCAAGGCGGGTCGGCGCTGCATCATTGAGAACCCCAAGCCCTCTGCAGCATGGCGGGAGCCGGAGATGAGAAAGTTTTTGGAGGAGAAGAATGTTCATATGGCTGTGTTTGATCAGTGCCGTTTTGGCCTCAAAAGTGTGGAAGGCATCCCTCAACGGAAGTCAACTTTGGTGGCAAGTTCCAGTTCGAAGGTGATTGACATGTTGAATGGAATGGTTTGCAAGCGTGACCATGCCCACTCTCCTGTCATCGGTGGCTCCCGGGTAACAGCTCGTGCGGGCATCTACCCTATGGGCCTTGCAAAGGCCATGGTGCGGGGAGTTGAAGTTCAGTTCGAACAGGACTTTGGCCATGAAGCGCTGGCTGCTGAGGTTGTGGAGGAAGAAGTCGATCGTCCTGATGGTGCGCTCGGCTATGGAGAAGATTCTGACGATGATGAGATGAAGATTTCTCCAGAAGAGGCCAAGATGAACATTCCGGCAAGCGTGAAGCTGGCCATCAAGAGGTTGCATGAGAACACAGGGCATCGCAGTGGGCGAAGACTTGCTCGCGCTCTGGCTATAGCAGGGGCACCTCCGGAAGCAGTTGTTGCAGCCAAACGACATCGATGTGCCGTTTGTGAGGAGAAGGCTCCACCCAAAGCTCGGCGACCTGCCAGTCTCCCTCGTCCAAAAGACATTGGTGACCAAGTGCATGTGGATTTGCTGGAGGTCGAGGACTGCCAGGAGCAGAAATACTATGTCTGTCACTGCACGGACGCGGCAACTCGCTTTCAAGTGGCAGAAGTGCTGCCGAACAAATCTACGGCAGCAGTGATTGAGTTCCTGAGCAAAAGATGGGTGGCTATGTTTGGGCCGCCCCGTGTTTTGGTGTGTGATCAAGGAAGAGAGTTCATCTCTTGGGAGATGGAAGAGTGGGCAAGCTCAATGAGCATTATGCTGCACCACATTGCCGTTCAGGCGCCGTGGCAAAACGGCGTAGCCGAAAGATCAGGAGGCATCCTGAAGACCATCCTGAGTGCAATCGTGGCCGCCAAGAGCATCGTGAACCGCTCTGAGATGGAGATGGCTCTGAGCGAGGCAATCGCCGCCTACAATGGAGATGTGGATGGTGAATCCGGCTGTTCTCCTTTTCAAGCTGCCTTTGGACGTCAACCCCGGATGATTGGTGATGTGCTGGGAGGCATCCAGCAGCGACTTGGTGAACATGGGCTCGTTGAGTCCAAGCCTTCACTTGCTCGTCAGATAGCTATGCGAGAGGTTGCAAAGCTGGCAATGACAAGACTGCACTTCTCTCGTGGGCTTCGCAAAGCGGAACTGGCAAGATCTCGGTCGACTACCATGGAGGCTGCACCAACTCCAGGTTCCATATGCTACTTTTACCGCCCTCTCCGGTACAACAACAAGATGTCTCAGAGCCGGAAGAAGCTCACCTTAAAGAGATGGCATGGACCTGCGATGATGGTGGCGATGGATGGGCACGCCTCCGTGTTCCTCTCCTACAAGGGACAACTCACAAAGTGTGCTCTTGAGCATGTCCGCCTGGCTTCCACTATGGAGCAAATAGCTTCCGGTGCTTGGTCGGAAGCGATCAAGGAGGCGGTGGATGCGGCTCGACATGAGCAAGCCCTGAGGAATACTCAGAGTGATGGCAATCAAGGGTGGCAAGCACCTCAGCAGCCGGTCCTACCAGAGACCCCTGTGGCAGCTGGAAATCCTTCGACACCCGCATTTCTCCCTCCGTCCAATGCGACAATGAATGCCGATGAGAACCAGTTGGAAGGCAGAGATCTACCTCCCGTACAACCTCAAGAGCTTTGGCAGATGATGGTTCCCTCCAATGCTCTCGCTTCTTCTCAGGTAGACTCCTCATTGCCGTCGCGACGGGCTAGCGATTTTTCAGATACGCCCTTTCCTCAGGCCACCAGACTGGCTATGGGAAGACGACCTTCAGGACTGCCTTTGACCTCAGTGCGTGAGAGGGTCCGAGAAATTGAAGGAAGCCTCAAACGTCCAGCTGAGCTGGATGCGGAAGCTCTTCGTGAACAAGGCCATGAACAAGGAACTCCTCGAGCAGAGGCTAGCAGTTCAACGCCTGCAGAAGTGACGGAAGAGACCCTGGTGACTGAAGCCGTTGATGTCATCAAGGCGGAGCTGAAGAAGGAAAATCTCCACCCATTGAGACGAGCCTTCCTGCAGGCTGAACTGGACAAGCAGTCTCCACTAGATGCTGAAGTACCAGATCATGGCACCTGGCATGGAAAATGGTCCCTGCCGTCAAGATCGGAGTGGTTGGCCCATCAGAAACTGGGTCTGAGCTGGCCCAATGGAAGTCAGCCCGATCATGAAGTCCAAGCAGTGCAAGCAAATCGCAAGGAGTTTCAATGGAGGACTATGTCCAGTGAGGAGAAGAAGGCATTTGCTGAAGCTGCAGAGCAAGCATGGTCAGTATGGGAGGAAAATGCTGCAATCGAAGTTTTGACGCCAGAAGAATCAGAGCGTGTGAGAAGGCGGCTCTTGGCGAACAAAGAAGGCAGCAAGATCTTGACTCCCAGGTATGTCTTCACCGACCGGCATGAAGGACTTCGAACGGCTCTCAACCCCCTGCCACTCAAGGCAAGAGCTCGAGTGATCGTGCCAGGGTACAAGGACATCTTTTCCTACAGCCTCAGGAAAGATGCCCCTACGGGGTCCCGTGTGTCTCAACACTTGCTCTTCACATTCACGGCCAGTCATAGCACTCCGACAACACCACGGGAGCAAAAATGGAGGATCATGTCCGCTGATGTGAAGTCTGCCTTTTTGAAGGGAGACGCCTATGTGGATGGCCAGCGGGAGCTCTTTCTGGAGAATGTGAAGGGTGAGGAGCCCAAGTTGCCTTTTGGGAGCTGCTTGGCAAAGATCCGCAAGGGAGTGTTTGGACTCTCAGATGCGCCCCGCCAGTGGTACTTGCGCCTCAACAAGTCCTTGCAAGCAGCTGGATGGGAGAGGACGGTTTTCGACTTCGCATGCTGGCTCAAATGGTCTGATGACCGCAAGAAGCTTCGTGGCATCATCATCTCCCACGTGGATGACTTGTTGCTGGGCGGTGACTCTACCGCGCAGGAGAGCCTGTTGACCATTGGAAAGGAGCTGGGCTTCGGAAGTGTAGAATATGATGATTTTGTTTACTGCGGGAAGAGAATCCAGATGCAGCCTGATGGCGCCATATCGGTGAGCATGAAGGCCTACCACGACAACCTCTCGCCCGTGGAGATCCCTCTGAGCAGGAGAAAGACACCCGAAGCTGAGCTCAGTGAAAGTGAGCGCCGACAACTCCGAGCCGTTTTAGGTTCCCTTCAGTGGCTCGTCGCTCAGGTCCGATTCGATCAGGGCTATAGTCTCAGCACCCTACAAGGTGAGAAGCCAGTGATTGGGACGCTGCAAAAAGCCAACCAGTTGGTGAAGGAGTTCAAAAGACGTCCCGATTTTTCCTTGGTGTTTCAAGCTTTGGATTTGTCAAAAGCGGGCATCATGGTGGTCTCTGACTCCTCCCTGGGAAACGTGCTTCGAGAAGGAGGCTGTGAAGGCGATGTGCTTGAAAAACTCTATAGCCAATCGGCTTACTTTGTGATCATTGGTGACCACAACCTCATGAACGGCCGTGAAGGATGCTTCAATGTTGTGGATGCTCGATCACACCGGCTTCCAAGAGTATGCAGATCGACCTATGGAGCTGAGCTCATGGGAGTTGAGGAGGGCATGGACATGGGAATCTTTTGCCGGGGTGGCCTAGCAACCTTCCTTGGTCTCCCTACTGGCCGACGGGATTCTCTCAAAGTGATGGAGGAAATCCCCATGGTTTCCATCACGGATGCCAAGGACACCTACGACCGCGGTAACTCCGACTGCCCGACCTATGGTGCTCAGAAGTCCATGGCTTTTGCCGTAGCTTGGGTGAGACAGACCCTCAATGGCTACAACAGCAGCCTGAAGTGGACGGCGACTGCCAACATGTGGGTGGATGCTGGGACGAAGGCTATGCCGCTAGACCACATGCAGGAGATCCTGGCAAAAGGCAAGTGGAGCTACGTCTACCACCAGGACTATGTCAAGCAGAGCCCAAAGAAGAAAACGCCAGAGAAGATCGGCATGACTGCTGAGCTGCCAGGTGAGCCGTTAGATGAGCGTTCCCAAATGTTTCAATTTGTTTTGAAGCTGAGTGGTCAACCCGGCTGGCACGAGAGGCCTGACATGGCGGTGCACGTGGCCTACGGAGCCAAATCTTTCAGGGTGCCAGATGGCCGTTTTGGGGCCAACAAGTATCCAGTGCGGTCCACCTTCGGGAAATTTGATCTGGAGGATGGCCGAAGTGTGTGGAGGCAACTTGAACACGGTGAGAATCTCACCGAATTGGCGAATCGCCGGAAGCTGTTGCCTAGGCCTGCCGGATGCTTGATTTCCTTGTTCATGTCTCAAGCAAAGAAGAGATTAGAGCAGCTGAGAAATCATGATCGTGACATGCATGGTTGACTTGGACATGAGCAAGGGTTAAGAACATCCGCAGGCGCCTCAGCCAAACTCGCTACGCTTCGCTCTAGGTGAAAGCACGAGCGCCCGTGACGTCGCCATTCGTACGGGCGTTGACAATAATATATTAGGTTCTTGAACCTCTTTTTTGTAAGTGGGAGCTGTTGTGCGAGTCTTTTCCTGACAACACGCAATGACCCGCAAAGCGCCGCTTGATGAAGAACCTCTCCCCCATGTCGATGGATTGAACCATGATTACATGGAACAAAATCCTTCATCACCGAGTCTTACATGATTCCAAACCACCTGCAAAGCATCAGAGGTTGAAGAACCTAGACTATCCCAGTTGTACCCCCGGTTTTGAGACACCTGCAGGCACCACCAAAGACACCCGGTCATGAGGCACCATGGCCCCACCCACGGCCCCACCACGACCTGGTCGAGGTGGCTATGCCGAGGTTCTCGCTGTGGGGAACCCTGGGCGATCCGCGCAGATCTGTCGAGAAACGTCGAGAGGCGAAAATCGACGTGTGGGTTTGGACCACGTGGTGGGGTGCAAGGAGAAGATTCCTTTGGTTGGGACGGGATGATGGGATGATGGGATGATGTTACTCAAGTTTTTCTTCATTTCTATTTTTTCGTTTCCTCTTGAGACTTGGATTCTAGATGCACAAAAGTGATCTACTTCGCAGGGATCAATTCAACAAGCGCTTTCGGACGGTCCAGCCACTTTCGCCCGGCGCCAGACCCTTTTGTCATGACTGTCCAGCCACTGCAGTGTTTTGTTCTTACTCTTTCACGGCGATTGCTGAAACCTGGATTCCTGGCAGGAATTTAAAGACTAGAAAAGATTCATGGTTTCTAGAAAAGACTCGAACACCAGCTCGTCAACCTCTTTCTTGAATGGTAAACCCACCGGGGGCCTGGTTCATTCCAACCCCCACTGTCCCGCCGTTCGTTGCGGGTGGCTCTTTGGCGTGGCCTCAGACGGGGGCGGTTGTGAGGTGCTTTTAGAGGAGAACGTGGATGTGGATCACCAGCTCTCCACCTCAATCTTCACTGGACTGGGCGCCTTGCACCTTGGTGGAACTCACTCCCCAAACGCCGCTCCCGGATACGATGGAGGGCCCAAAATTAGGACCGAGCCAGGCGAAAAAAAACATGCGAAAGAGCTGGACGGCCAGCTTTCATCACTTGGACTTAGATGTCTTCATTCACGGATATTTCTTGGAAGGTGCAGTGATTCCCCAAATTCGCCATGGAACCTACCGGACGGTCTATGGAACAATGCTATGCATGCAGAACAAAACTATGCTATCCGCTCGGAACTTATATCCTCTCACCCAGGCTTGCAGCTCAAAAGTAAGGATAATTCTTATTGGATGTTCTTTTTTCATCTTCAACCAAGATCTTCCACTGATGTAGGTCATGCTACAATGCAGAGCGACAGTGCAGGTTTTTGAATTGAGCTGCATCCGGATTTGTTCAAAACCGTTCTTGAATGTTCTTGTCTGGTTCATGTTTTGTGATTTCTGGGTGATCGTTTTTGGGTTCATGTTTTCGCGTTCTGAACTCCACGTACCCATTGGTGCGCACCAAGACGAATCTTCCAAGGCTTGCAGGATACAGCTTGATTCATCGTTACAAGGAGACGACTTTGAGCACCTATGCCACTGGGCCTTGAGCGGGTGAAGTTGAGAGAGTGAGGTCTGGACACCCGAAGCTGGTCCGGGGCCCAGACGACCCTAGGAGGGAGGCCATCGCTACTAGGTTGGAGGCCATCGCTAGGGAAAAAAAAAAGAACACCTTCGCCTTCCGTGAGCATTGCAGATCTAGACGCGACCCTGGACCCCCCAGACCTATGGAGGGGTCTGGGGGTTTCTCACCAATCCCTACGTTTGGTTCGGGACCCGGTTCGGTCGGGCTGTGAACTCACGATTCCACGGAGCGTCGGTTCGGGGCACATTGACGTCGTTGGTCGTTGGTCTAAAACATCCTTAAACGGATTGGGTGGACCTGTTGGACCCAATCCTCGGAACAGTTCCAACACAGGTTTTTCATGACCCGACTGTTCGATCTATCCCAGGCCAGAGTACCCCAGGTAGCGAGCTCGGGTCCTATTTACGGTCACTGGCTACCTCTCTTGGGAGGTTCTGGAGTCCGATCCTTCGCCCTCCTTCCACTTCCACTTCCCCCCCTCCAAGTCAGGTCTCTTCTTGGTCAGGTCAGGTCGAAGGTCCCGGACACGGTGTGGACATGGACCCGGACCTGGACGCGTCCGGGGTTTGGACGAAAAGAGATGTAGCAGTTGGTTCGGGTCCAGTTTCGCCTTTGGGAATGGAGGGCGTTTGGGATGTTGAGACATTCGCCTACCCTGGGGGCGAAACTGGCGGTTTTGCCTGGGGCGGTTGCCTCCACCATCTTGCCAAGATTGGTGGGCCAATTTTCGAGGCTTCAGGTTCCTTCCAATTTTCGAAGAATTGACAGCTGATTCTAGCAAACTGCTCGGGAAAGGACTTCATTTGACTGGATTTTGGTCATATACATGAAGAACAACACGACTCTTACTGAGGTTTGACTGGGATCAAGTTACCGACAGGTCAAACAGGACGTGGCGTCACTGAGATCTCAAAGATCGCGCCACTGGCGGTCCTGTCTTAGAGGTAGAGGGCGACAGCGGTGAAAAGACCTGGTTTTCTCGTAGATCGAGTCTTGCAACTTTTCAACGTGTTTTTTTTGGTAGGATCCCTGGCTGGACCATGAATTGAAGAGTCTGAATCCTGAAGAACCATTGCTTTTACTGACGAATTTAGGCTACAAAGCCAGCTCAGCCTCTTTTTTCTATCTTGGGTTTTAATCATCCCGGGCAGCGACTTGAGGATTGAACATCCCTCAGTCGAACATGTTCAAATTTAGAACCCGAAAGAGCTCGGACTTCAACATAAGCCATGTTGAGTCCTTTGATCGGGATCTCTCCTAGGGAAAGGCTTTGCTGTATTTGGCCTTCATCTCGTTGAACTCCAGACCACTTACGAAGTCCAAACTAGACCGCAACATAAAGAACACATTTCTTCAAGAACACACACGTGTCGACACACCTTGCTGTTTAACTGTGCACAGCTTGTCCCCCCCCCGGCCGTGTTCCTCCCTGAAATCGGTCGTGTGAGTTCGTGAAATCGCTGAAATCGCCGAACTCGAGGCTTATCATCACCAACAGGCGCGAACTCGCACCGGCCGGCCTTCTGTGGCCCCGCCGGTGGGACACGCGTCCGGGCGAGGAGTTCGGAGCTTCGCCGATTCTCCTCGATCCGGCGGAGCCCGGGGGGTGAGAAGCCCACCCAAAGACGTGTGGACCTGTCGGGTCCCCAAGACGATGCCACCAACCGCACTGAACCCGAGACAACTGGGTGCTGAACCGGGCTGGGCGCTTGTTTCGGGGCTGCTGAACCTTCGGTTTCGGAGGTCTGGTGTTGTGCAGTCGGAGTGCGAATGAGTCCGATCAGCCCGGAGAGGATCCGGACCCTCCAAAACACCAGGGTTGAGTTCGGGGCCCTGTACGTCACCCCGTAGTTCACAGCAGGCGCCATCGAAGCCCTTCGTTTCGGTGTCGTTTCGGTGTCGGGGGAGTTCCTCGGATCAGAGAGTTGCATGGGGGGCCACGGGTGTCGAGTGAAATGAGGATGGCGGATCGTGGCTGTTGCGGGTCTCATGACTGTTGCGGGTCTATGCCGATGTCAGGGAACTGAAGGAAGTGAGGACCGACTTGTAGACTTCCGGACCCATGATGCAACGACATGTCTCAGTTCATGAAAAGCACCCAAGGAGAAAGACATGGACGTCATCTGAGACAACATCACATGGGCACATAAACCCAGGGACCAGCCATTTAATGTAGAAGAAACTTTGAATAAACCCACCACATCTGCATCAACCCTGAGATCTCTGCTCTTTCTTCATCTTGTCGCAGACTTCAACCCATCGCCACGGGCGGACTCCGCGTCGGGTCCCGATTTCTCGCGCGGCGAACGTGTCAGGCCACGCCGCTGATGTGTAGCCTTTTGACCGGGGCTTATGAGGCCACCGCCATGCTGATGGCTGCAGGCCGCCCTTGATTTCCAGCCGCGGCGCCCACCCCGCGGTGGTCGGGCGTGACGCGCGCGTGGCTTTGAGCGGTACGGTGGTACGGCGCGGCGTGGTGTTGGTTTGCCGACTGTGGACGCTTCATATCTACGAATCGAGGAAGAACAGGGAGAAGTGGTTCACTGCGTGGTGAACGAAGCGGTATAAGAAAGTGTGGTGAACCATCAGAGTTGTGCACCAGATCAGCATGGGCCACCCAGATGAGTTCTGAAGCAAGGCATGCTGTGAGTGATTGCGCCAGAGAAAGGCAAGTGAAACACCACAGGATGGACCCAGAAACAGGATGGAACAGGGACACAAACCTACAAAAACCCTTGAGACAAACACATGAGGACTACTATTTTTCTCTTTGCAACTGGTCTCTCCTTGACTTCTTCGCTCCTGGACTGGCGGTTTCTGGTCGTCCGGTGACGGTGGTTTCCACGACCAGGCGCCCGCACGGAGCTGCGGAATGGGAGGGGCAAGTCGGCGCTGGACCTGGCGCTGGAGACGGGGGCGCCGGGCTTCATCTTGTGCGTCGCTGGGACGAGACCGACCGAGCTACGCGCCACGTCGGGGCAGCGGGGGGGGGACGTCACCGACGACGTGCCGCGGCGGACGGAAAAGAGCGGGGCGCTCCTGGCATTACTACTGGGAACTAAGAAGCTACTACTAACAAGGGCATTACTTGTACCCAGACGCTCCTGGACCCTCATATGCAGGGGTCGGACCCGAATCCTCTGGAGGGGTCGGACCCTCAAATCCCTATGGTTTTGAGGGACCCAAGGGCTGTTTGGAGCGTCTGGGTAGTAAGAAGCTACTAGTAACAAGATTTGGGATGACTTTGGGACAGGAATCTTTGCCGCAATGACGATGTGAAAAAC